TGATTTAAGTAAGTTTTAACCCCTGAATTGGGTGCAATATAGAACAGGTTATATATATCGTATTACCAAAGAATATTAGCTTTCCACAAACAAATACATTATTTGGGTCGACAAAAATATCGAAAGCTTCCGAAGGAATCGAGCGGTGGACTGCAATTAGAACCCCACCACCATTTTTATTCAATCTATCCTTTCTGAAAATTAGATAATTATCGGGAAATATTTCTGTATTAAGAATATCAGGTTTGATCCAAGTTTCAGTAAAAAGAATTATTTTATGTTCTCACTATGAACTTTTAAGAAAAACATTATGGATATGACGTCATTTAGTTTTTTGATACTGTTGGTATATTCACAGATCAAGGGGTTTTGTACGTTCTCTGAAAATAATTCCTTCACTAAGGCACCATTGGGCCAAAGCGAGTTACAACCAGTAGTACTTAATATTTTGCGAGGCACATTTATTTTAAGAGAGCAAATTTCACGTCGCTGAGAAGATCTAAATTTGAATACATTTATATCGTTTTCTGACAGATCGGTTATTTTAGATTTTATGTAGTTAGTTAGAATATCATCAGTTGAAGTATTTGGGTGCAGCCTAGATAAAAATACAGTTTGCGCAAAGCGGTTGATTAAAGTCTTCATGTCATACAATTCTACTTTTATTGTGGACCTGCATATGCCATTTCTGTCACAGGCTGTAAAATTAATTACGAACTTCAGAAATTAAATTCGAAACAATTCCGATAAAAAAGTGTAGCTAAAATCTTCAAAATACCGAATATCGGGAGATACCGTTATATGGGGGCTATGCGAAGACGTGGACATGCATAAACAATTTTTTGTCATAGGTTGTAGCATTCATTAAGAACTTTACACGTGTCTGTAAAACTTTAGCTCAAATCGTTCGATAAATAGCGTGATTACAACAGACGGACAGACGGAAATTAGTAAATCGAATTTTACGCTGATGAATAATATTTTGTTATTGCAAAATGGTCAGGCTTTATCCCTTTATTGTTGCTTTTATAAAAACAACGTTTGTTTATTAGTGGTGAACGACGGTAATATTTACCAGGGGGTAAGACTATTCCCTGTCTTCGGAAAGAGCCACCAATCCATCTTTCTCCACTTGTTATCCTTTCGTTCAACCTGAACGAAGTAGCATAACCATGTAAGTTGGTTTTGTCAGCTACAACAAAACCCTTTCGTCGACCGTGCCTTGTCTATTAATAGAACAGTGTTGGCTTGTTTGTTTGGGATACCGTAGTATTTTGTTGTTGCAAAATGCTCAGGCTTTATCCCATTATTGTTGTTTTTATAAATATATATATCTATATATATATATATATATATATATATATATATATATAAATATTATTATTTTAAATTAAATCAATTAATTATAACTAATATATTGACAAAGAGGATTTTTTATTGATTATAAATATCTACATTTATTTATATTATTTCTTAAATTTTCAATTATTGTAATAACAAATGGTTCTTTATTGATTTGATATAAAATGCTTCCATATTATTAAATTCCAAATGCTTAACGCTAAAAAGAGAAATTTAAACAAATGTTGGCCTTTATAGGTATGGCCAGGACTGAAATGTGAAATAAAGCTTTACCACAATTTTTTATAGTTATAGTATACTATTAATCTTACCTAATAAAGGATTCCCGCTTCTCAGCTTTATTGATTATGGACATAGAGCAGTCGTGGACAGATAAGTGAAAATCATTAAATCAACTATGATCATGATTGTTTATACTTTATGGGGTCTACGACGAACATTTAGAGGTGTTACAAACCGAATGACATATTTAATATATCCTCCTTTCCATATATATATATATATATATATATATATATATATATATATATATATATATATATATATATATATATATATATATATATATATATATATATATATATATATATATATATATATATATACATATATATATATATACTTTGTTATTTCGAGGAGTTACAAACGGAATGACAAAGTAAATATACCTTCCATGTTCCTTTTTCCGTGTTGACGCCTAATAGTAACGTAAAATATTGTTTTGTGCAGAAGATATATTATATACCAGGTTTCACCATATATATGAGCATAAACAGAATACATACATTTCGAAAGTAATTTGTTTAAAACTATTATAATTAGATATTAGTTTTACGACAATTATATTTGAAATATATTTACAAAAGTGGATATTATGTTATAGTAGGACACATGAACAAGTTTTGTCCATACAATACACTATGCATTAACAGTAGAGGAGCAGAAAATCTACATATAAAAAAAGGGAAAGGGAAAAAAATGCGGATAGTTTTAAAAATTTTGATCAGTGTAAAATTGAAAGTTGATTTAACGGTGTAAATTTGTATGTCTGTCGGTCTGTCTGCTGTAATTATTCTATTAAAAATCAAAGTTTATATAGAAGGCTAAAATTTTGCAACATCTGCATTTTGCCAGTAGTCAGGTTAAGTTCGTGACATTATAGACCGCAATTGTTTTGAATTTCAAATTGAATAATTTTTATATTACAACCTATGTCAGATTTTTTTTTTTCAAGTTTACGTCTTCGTATGATGCACATAAAACGGGACCTCCCTTTTTCTGTAATTTGTTGATATTAGCGACATTATTCAACGGAATTGTTTTAAATTTCATATTTGAAGGTCATAAAGAGTACTGCTAATTATTACAAAAAATCACTTATCTATATTTCTACCGTATCTGCGTTACATTATTACGATAATGTTGAATAAACAACATTAATTTTGTTTCAACATCACGTGCTCTGAAATACTTTTCATTAAAATTTTTTGTAAAAAATCTCCAACTATTCAAATTGTTCAAATAAATTATTCGACATTACGTGTCCGTTTTTAGAAAATAAAACATTTAGACCTTCTTGATTTTTCTTTATTTTTACAACACTTTTGTGCACCTTAAAAAAATTTTCGTTGACTGATTTTTATACCCTCCACCTGGAAAGGAGTATATTTTATCTTTTTTATTCCGTTTATAACATCCCTAAATATTCGTAGTAGACCCCATAAAGTGTATATATTCATGATCAAAATAAAATTCTAAGTCGATTTAACGATGCCCGTCGGTGTGTCTGTTTGTTGAAATCGCGATAGAGGTTTGATGTATAACCTCAAAATTTGGCAGAACAATGTGTACTGTATCTAGTATGGTTGGTACTGAAAACGAGATACATAGTTTGATGATTTTCGACACATTTTTCACTGATTTGTCTAAAAATTGGTATTTGTAAGTCATAATAGGTTCTAGCTTCGGTGGCGAAACATTGTAGGTATAGCTCTTCGTTTTTGTATAGCCCCCATATAATGGTAGCTTCGGTGGCAGAACTTTGAATATTTATGTCCACGTTTTTCTATAACGCACATATAACGATACCCATCCATATTCGGTATTTTGATAATCCTAGTCACATTTACTCACGAAATTGTTCCAAATTTGGTATTTAAAAAGATTTGGTAGCTGACAATCCTTGAAGTATAAAATTGTCTATAGAGGTTCTCGTTTTGGTATGGCCCCAAACAATGGGCTCACCCAGATTATCGTTTTTTCAAAAGTTTAACGATACTTTTATTTAAAAATGTTTTCTTTACCCAATGGTTCTGCCCGACCGAACTTAATGTTTTTACTTGTTTTCAATCTGGTTTTTTATTGCTATTGCTACTTTTCCCATTGAGTTTCTAAAACAAAATACAGTTTTACATGAAAACATTATATTTTTTTTTAACTAGGTTCATTTGATAAAATGCTACTCACACCTCTTGATTTGTTTATCCGAGCAATATCTTCAATTCTCAAACAGACGAAGAGCTCAATATCTATTTTTACAATTATAGGGAGCTGAACGTTACGGGAAACCATATTTGACAAATGTCCAAATTATTTCGATGAAGAAGACAATTCATGTGAGGACATCACTGACGCCGAAATCAAGTACGCTGTGGCATTTATATGTTATCTAGGGTTTTAGTTTCCACCAATACGAATTTAGATAAACTTTGGGCTCCAAATGTATCATCCATGGTGTCCTCATCTCCTTAGGCTATCTTAGGCTGTACGTGTGGCAAAACATTGCATGTATAGGTCCACGTTTTGGTGTAGCCCCCATATAAAGGTATCTCCCGATATTCGGTATTTTATTTTTTGCCATTTTTTCAAGAATTTTTCTGAAAATTTGTAGTTGTAGATCATAATGGGTCCAGTTCGTGTGGCGAGTCATTGTAATTATAGGTCCACGTTTTGGTATAGGCCCCATATAACGGTACCTCCCGATATTCGGTAATTTGATGATTTTTACCACATTTTTTCACGGATTTGTCTGAAAATTGGTATTTGTGGGTCAAAATGGGTTCTAGCTGCTTTGGCGAATTGGTGCAAGATTTGGTATAAGCCCATGTAACGGTACCTCCCGATATTTGGCATTTTAATGGTTTTTGCCACATTTCTTCTAATGTTTCCTTTACCTTAAGGTGGAGGGTATCAAAAGTTTGGCCCGGACGAACTTAATGTTTTTTTCCTTGTTACTATAAGGTTACGAAAATTGTAGGGAGAACCCCTCCTATTTATTCCCGGTTTTTATGCACCCTTTTTTATTCACCATGTTGATATCACTATAGAGCCCACATTATTTGACTCAGTGTTTTAAAATTTGGAATAAATTTTTTTTGGCATTGAAAATTATGATTTAGCTTTATTTTTCTCCGGAATTGTTTTAGATTTTATATTAAGAAATATTAACGACTATTACTTGTGTTAATAGTTTTACGCTGATATTCACTTACAGCAGCGCTCCCAGTAGTTAAATTGCTTTATGAAAGTTTTTAGTTCAATCACTATAATCAGATTTTCTTTCAATTACTCGTTTATACATCGCTCCCAAAACATAAAAAAAGTAATTGTTGAAAATCAAACTATAACAAAATACCTACCCAATCACAACAATAAAGAAGTCTAAAAAGTTCCACCCATTTCTTAAGTATGATCCAGTGTGAAGGACAAATCCATACGCAATAATTTTCATAACACATTCGGAAGTAAATATTACCAAAAATATGTACTCAATTTTTTCCTGAAAGAAATATGCAAAAACACATGAGAATTGCGATCAAAGTTGCCAATGTTACATAAATAATTGTAACAATTAAAGGCAAAACACTGTAATTAAGGTCCAAGTTAGAGCTCTCCAATTGAGAACACTAAAAAAAATAATGTTGTTGTTGTATATTGTTGACCTGTTATATTTATTTTACTTATTTGGTTAATAGCTTGGCTTAAGGTCATTAAAAAACTATGTTTTTATTTTTGAATTTTTCCTTTTTTATTCATCCAATATTTCGATTTCCTCCGGAAATCATCTTCAGGGATATTCTTAAAGTAAAAAGCTCGTCTATTGAGTTTGATAGTGACATTTAAACTCAATAGACGAGCTTTTTACTTTAAGAATATCCCTGAAGATGATTTCCGGAGGAAATCGAAATATTGGATGAATAAAAAAGGAAAAATTCAAAAATAAAAACATAGTTTTTTAATGACCTTAAGCCAAGCTATTAACCAAATAAAAAAAATAATTTTTAAAGGTTCCAATCACTGCACCGAAAATAAAAGAGAATAATTATATTTTCAACATTTAATATTCACAATTACAAGGATTAGTTCTTATTACAATTTCTAATGTATTCTTTTTATTTATAAATTTTCGCCATTTAATATACACAATTACAAGGATTATTTCTCATTACAATTTCTAATGTATTTTTTTATTTATTAATAATTATCGATCCAGCACGAATCCGTGTTGGAATAAGCGCGTGTTGGAATAAAATGCCTATGCTGCACCGTTGTTAAAAATGGCTAGGCTGCACCGTGGTTAGCTCCTCCCTACTTAAATGTCTGCGTCCCGCAGATTTAAAATTCTACGTTTCGAAATTGAATTCGTGGTAGATTTAAGTAGATTTGGTTTATACCAAAGCCATCCAATGCATATGATCATGAAGGTAAAGATAATGATGTTAATGCTAATGGCACCATTGAATATTGTTCCCAATTGGTTCAACCGATTTATGTTGTTGAGGCTCACTTCATGGACGTATTTGATATCCAGCAGCAGGTCATTATGTGCTATATTTGCTAATACTGGTGGAAGGGCTTGAACATTTGTGGTTGAAGTGCTGGAGTAAGTGTGATTTTTAATAACTACTCACTCATGGAAGAGTTGCAAAAGATAGGTGCCATTCAAGAACTCAGTTTTACCATTCGTTCCGTGCTTCTATAGCATTGCTGTAAGGCAAAGTTTCGAGTTCGTCAATTATTCTATTTATCTCCGATTGATTTAGCAGATTTGTGTTAACAATTCTATTTTTTGCAAGCTGACAAGCTCGGACAATTTCGTTTATCTCGTCCATTAGAACAATGACTTCATTGATGGTCATTTGTTTCATTTAGGTGTAGTTTTTACCACTCGTGATGTTATTTATTCTGGTGATAACTTCGTTGATCTTTTTTACAACTCAGTTTGCACTCTGCTGAATTTCTTTGTTAATCTTATACTGTTCATTGTTATTTACAATGATACTTTCTTGACTTCTCAGTATGTTATTCCAGTCTGTTGAACCAGGGCTTCCAGCTACCCACTTCCAGGTCGATCCGATCCAATCAATTGACCTTAGCGTTCTTCTTTTTACATTTGACAATTCACTTAGGCGTTCCTGCATCTGCAGCACGTGGCGCAAAATGAACTCCTTGTTTTTGCTTAGAGGAATATGCCTTTGAATAAGATATGATACGTTTGCAGTCATTTCCGTGTACTGTTCTAAGTTGATGACGTGTATTAATTTAAAATTCCCTTCGACTATCCGTCCGCTGCCAATTTTTATTGACACAAATGATGTTTTGTATTCATAGATTTGCACACTACTTCCAAAAGCAATCAGATAAAATGTGGTGAAGAGAATCAGCTTAAGATGGTTTCTGAAAAATACTTTAACTAATTATATTATAAAGAATGAGACGGTGTCTTAACAAATGCTAAATGTTTTACTTTGGTTATGCTTATGATAATGAAGAAAAGAAAATTTTACTTGATTTTTAGTAATTTGTTTTATGTTAAATTTTTCGTTATTATTGGTATAATTTTTGTACCATTCAAGAATATTTGTAGTTTCTTAAATATTTTTTCTTCCTTTCTTCCGCTCCTTGTCAGCACAGTTACCCTATTATCTTTCTCTACAATCACTTTCCTATATAGCGCTTTATTTTTTCCTTGAATATTTTTAATAGCTACATAAATTCTGTCACCTTTTCTATATTTTTAGGGCTTTGTTTCCTTCGGTTCATTCTTGCGTTTCGAGCTTTCGTGCTTCTTTTAAGCAAATGCCTAAGATCTGTATTGACCTTTTTCTGTTCTAATAATAGCTTTTCATAGTTTGTTGCAGTATTTCTATTGAAAAATAAGTCTCGGGGTCTTTTCTTTGTTGTTGAGTGGATGGTATTGTTATATCTATCGATACAGATTTCAATTAGTTCTTTTACCGATAGATCCGGGTATTCGACTCTTAAACATCTACAGATTTCTATTATTGTTGAATGTAGTCTCTCTACTTGCCCATTCACCTCACTTCTTTGTACTGGCGTAAGATATATTTTGATACCTAATGATTTGATGAAGGTTTCTGTTAAAGGGCTTATGGCGCTCGTTATCAGTAACGAGAATTTTTGGCACTGTAATATAATGTAAAACTTTAATTAATTTTTTCCTCACATTTACCAATGATCTATCCTTAATACTAAAGAATTTTGCAAATTTTGTAAACTTATCAATACAGGTGATGAACTTTTGACCTTGGATTTCCATGATGTCCATGTGAAGAATTTCACATGGAAAGTAAAATTGTTCTAGAATTTGTTTCTATTCTATTATTTCAGATTGACGCTCCTTTGAAGTAATGTCCGTAACTAATTTCTGTGTATTTCTTAGTTTATATCTAGAGAAGTGATCAATATAAATTTCTTGTATAGCACCAAGAAGACCTTCTGGTGCTTTTATTCCATTAAGGATATTTGGGCGAAGTTTCTCCTTAAACAAGGTTACAAGTTTTTCCTTATACCAATTTCTTGAAGAAATAAAATGCCTAGTATATTCGCGATGTGGTTCTTCAATTGCCGTCATGTCCATTCCGATTCCTAGGATAATTTGATTTCTAAAGGCGTTTATAGGCACATCTACGTGGGGTATTAAGTCGGAAGCATCTTGTTCTGCTCTATGAACTGTTGCCGCTGATGAAAGATTACCGTCTTCTTTACCCTCTGAAGCCGTTAGGGTTTCATCCCCATCTAAAGACATTCCTTCACTTGCTGTATCCGTAGAAGAATGAAAGTCATGATTTGAAATGATTTTTAATCTAGCGAGGGCGTCAGCCACGTGGTTTGATTTACCAGGTTTATAAATCAACTCGTGGTTATATTCCTCTATACGTGCCTTCCATTTTTTTAGTTTTGCATTATAATTCCTATTTCCTAATGCAAACTTCAAAGGCTGACGGTCGGTATAGATCTTGATTTTCTTTGCACCATACAAGTAATTTCTGAGATTATCCAAGGCCCAAACCATAGCCACCATCTCTTTCTCGTTTGTGGCATAATTCTCTTCAGTTTTATTGAGCGAACGAGAAATATAGGCTATGGGTTTGTCCTTGCCGATATCTCCTTGGGACAAAACAGCACCTAGAGCAGTATTAGAGGCATCAGTGGTCAGATTGAATGGTTTGTCAAAGTCTGGGAAAGTCACAAGTTCAGCTGTGGTTAACATATACTTTGTTTCTCAAAAGATTTTAAGGACTTATCATTTAGGTTAATTGGTACCATTCTAGACTGACTGGCTTTTATTTGGGCATTTTCTCCCCTTGTAAGATTCGTAAGTGGTTTTGCTACCTTCGCATAGTCGCGAATGAATCTCCTATAGTAGGAAGTCATACCCAAAAAACTTTTCAGCTCTTTTAAGTTAGTGGGCGGTACCAGATTTTGAATGGATTTGACTTTGGAAGGATCGGGTTTGATTCCCTCAGACCCAACGATATACCCTAGAAATTCGACCTCAGTTTTCATAAATTGCATTTTTTCAAGATTTACTTTCAAGTTGGATTCGCGAAGCTTCGCAAAAATTGTATCTATATTCTTCAAATGATCTTTTATATTTTCACCAATTACTATTATGTCGTCAATATAGACGAAACAAATTTTCCCTATGTACTCGCGAAGGACATCATCTATCATTCTCTGAAATATAGCCGGAGCATTTTTTAAGCCAAAGGGCGATCTAACGTATTCAAATTTTCCATTTGCTGTTGAAAAATCAGTTTTTGGGATATCTTTTGGTCTCATAGGTATCTGATGAAAGATCTATTGTTGTAAAATATTTTGCTTTACCTAAGCTAGCTAAAGTGGATGTGATATCTGGAATCGGGTAAGTATCTGAAATGGTAACAGCATTCAGGCGTTTGAAATCCACTACCATTCGATATTGTTTTTTCCCATTAGGTTTTGTTTTTTTAGGCACGACCCAGATTTGTGAATTGTATGGACTTTTAGAGGGTCTTATTAGCCCCTCTGAAAGTAGTTCATTTATTTGCCTTTCTACTTCCCCTCTCGTGCAAACTGGGTTTTTATTTCCGCTTGAACATTAGTAGATGCCATTTCACTCCCATCCAAGGGACCAAAAAGTTCACCATATTTTTCCACCAGTTCCTTTATCGAAGACTTAACATTTGAATAATCTTCCTTTAGAATATAATTTGCCTCAGTCGAAACCTTTTCATTCAGTGGAATTATTTTGTCCTTCTTTAAAGTTAAGACGTTGTCCCTACGGTCTACCACCGCGACAAGTTCTTTAAGGGTATCGTCCCCAATTATCCCATCAAATGTCTGTAGGATTGGTAAAACATAAAATGAAATGATTTTATCTAACCCAATAAATTTGAAAAATTTTCCTGTCACCTTGCGTTCGATAGTGACATTCCCCCCCACTGATCTTACTACTATAGGATTATCCAGAGGCACACTGCCACTAGACAATAG